TATAAATTATACCTCAATACAGTTGTTTAAAAAAAACAATGAGAAGAGAGAAAACAGACAGTGAACACAGACAACTCTGAGTGGTCCCAGCTTAAAGGAAAAACGCAAAATGTGGCAACAGCAGGAGGGAGAAGTGGAATTGAAAAATTTTTTAATAGGGGCAATAATAGCCTATTTGTATGTTAAGTGGCGAGCAGCAAGGCAGATATGGGAGTCGTCCTGCTGAAGCAGTACCTTTGAGCAACCGAGGGAGTGAGCAGGCAGGGCGAGGCTGGCCTTGGCGGGAAGTGGTGGAAGTTCACTGGGAGGGAAGGCAGCACATGGGCATAGATAAAGGGGGGGGGGGGGCGGTGTGGAAACCTGTGAAAGTTCTCCTCAGACTGGTTCTATTTCTTGGTGAAACAGGAAACAAGAACTTCATCTGAAAAAATGAGGGAGGAGGTCCTGGAGGTTGGAGGAGAGAAGAAAGAAAATAGCCATTGAGGAGAGTGGGAGACAAACAGACCAGGGAAATAAGGAATGACTTCTGGACACTTGAGATCAGGGGTCATGAATTTAAGACCAACCCAGTCAGCATGACTGAGTGTTCTCCTCCAGCCTCACCGAGCTGCACATGTGCAGTCATGGACTTGGATTTGGATCAGGATTGCGATTTAGCCAAGTGTACAGAAAAGTGCAAGACGATGGTTATAATGACGGACTATGGATTTTAAGCGGGGCAAGGAAGTAAGCGTAAACACGAAGAGGTGAGGGACAGGGAAAATGTGGTATCAATCGATGGATTTTGGTCTTGGCGGAGTTGAAGGATTGCTGGAAGTGGGACACTGAAGACAGTGAGCTGAAAAGATGGGTAGTTAGTGTGATACAAGCAGGAGTTTGAGTTCTGGTTTATGGCCAGTTCTAGAGGATGACCACAGGAGTGGCTGAGGTAAGGTAGAGGGCAAGATCATTGGATGAGGTCAATGAGCCAACAGGTCCGGTATAGAAGGCTCATCCACATGAAATACTGAACTCATTGATTAAGCAGGAGCGCGTGGGACAGTGAGTTAGGAGTTAAAATCTTCAAGGAATGAGGGAGAGTGATCTGGAGGTGGGGAGATGATAGTCACAGGTAAGGTGGTTGGTGTTATAATCTTGATGAGAAGAGATTAAAGATGGGAGGGGGGTAGGAAGGATTTTAGGGAGAATGGTTTATAACTGGCAACCAAAAGCAAGGAAGTCACCGACCTCACATCCAAGTCCAGGAGGATGAGTGGTGAGGGAGAGGACAGGCACCATTTAAGGGGTCTACAGGGGAAGCCAAGTCCTCAGGAGAGCAAGGGATTTTGGACAGAAAAGAGGGGATGCACAGAATTGCACAGAGATTAGAGATGAGGGATGCAGAATGAATCTGGAGGCCTGGGCTTCTTGTGACTGACGTGAGTTGGAATAAAGGGCATAATGATATTAGTCCTCATGGTCCCACAGCAGTAGTTTCAAGGTTGGGAATGATGGCAGAGAGGGAGGGTAGGGTCCCGCCAGAATTGTGCAGAGTTCTTGGGCTTCCATATTCCACCTAAGTGGAGTGCCCTGATGGGTTCACTTCTAGTATCAGCGCTCTGCAGAAGTATTTCAGCTACTCAAATTTATTTTTAAGAACATATTTTAAAAACTTATTGAAGTTATATAACATTACAGAAAGTGTATCTATTAGAAGACAAAGCCACGCACAATCCAATCACCCTAACAAATTATTTTGTTTCCTCTTTCAATATTTTAGCATATGCAGGCTTTATCTTGTAATTAGTGTATCACAAGTTATTTTGCTTTTTTATCATAAGAGCTTTTCTATGTTGCCATGAGGACTTGATAATTATTTTTATTGAGTGCATAATATTCTATGAAGTGAATATAATTTACTTAATTTCAGTCTCCATTTGTTAGACTAATGTTGATTATTTTCATTTTAAATAATTACAACTAACTCAGTGATAGGCCATTTCTGTATCTATTTAGCTACACTCTACAGCTAAATGAATGCTAACTGCTAGCCAAGATGTGGAGGCAATATATGAAAACCACCTCTTTTGCAGGCTTTTTTTTTCCCCTTCCAAAACTTTATTGAAATGACAAGTGAATTACTAAGACACTTTAAAAGTCCTTTGCTTATTCATCATTCTGCTTGGAAAAGTTTACCTTTATAGCAAGAAAACAGACACAAAATCATTAAAAATACATGAGCCCCCAAGGCAACATGGCCTCATTTGATAGCTGAGCAGGGACTTTCCACACCTTCCCACGGTGCCCAGGGCATCAGCACAAGAGGAGCACTCCAGGTGAGAACCAAGCAAGGCGGGCACTGAGGGGCCTCAAGGCATGTGGAAAAGTGCTAGCACAAAGCGGTTTCCCCAACTTTCTTTCCTAATGTTCGAGTTAGCTTCAGGTCCAGAGCTCTCTTAAAAACCCAGAGGTTAATAAGGTTCATGCAAATCCTTTCTTACAGGCTCGGAAGTCCTTCGTTAGCTGAGTTAGTTTGTAGCTTGTGCACGGGCTTCAACCCTCTCTCACTTTGAAAAGCTCTGTTTGCACATTTCTCTGGTCTTATGAAAACTTTCTAAATAAAGTTGATAATCAACTACAAAGTTTCAGTTTACTGATTCCCTTTACACAGGGCACTAAACCTTAGAATTCCAGACACCTGTCTCAAGAATGTAAATAGTGTGTTTAAAAAAAAATTTAGGGTAAGTCTTGGTCAATCCTCTAAGTCTTCACAAACGGAGTCCCTCCCCCAGTTGCTTAGCTTCACATTTTAAAAAAAACCATAGTCCTTGTAATCTGTGTTCTATTGCGTGTATCTTCTCTGCCATGGCCATTAATGAGTTGTATGAGGAACGCCTCTACCTGCAGTATTAGCTATCTCTGCTCCAATAAAATTGTATTTACCAAAACGGGCAGTGGGGTGGATTTGGCCCCAGGCTGCAGTTTGCCAGCCGCAGTAGACAATGCTTGACCTCAGCCATCTCCCAGACCTTGCCTTTCACCACAGATTCACCACAGTCCTGCACACTTGATAGACACTTTTGAGATATTCTGCTACACAGAGGAATCTGAATACGCGGACGTTTTGGGGATATATTACAGCCCAGCAGCTTAAATGACCATTTCTGGCACGGCCAGCAGGAGCTAAACAGCCTATCATCCTGTTTTAATTTCTCCTATTGAATGTTCTTAGCAGTACTGTTACATACTTCCCCCACTCGACAGCATGACTGGTGAGACTAACGTGGACTGATGTCCAGTTGGTAACTTCACACATTTCCGACATTCCATTTTAAGAAGAGAGAGAGGCAGAATGCCGACAGACACAGGTGGACCACAGTGGTTACTCTAAATTAAGTGATAAGAAAGCAAATAACTCTGTGGGACAGAATAGCCCTCCCCCTCAAAAGGGGATGACTTCAAAGTTAAATGAAAGCTCCCTGATGTATTGAAAGTGTGTTCCCAGCAATTGGGGCTACTTATTGGACCACTCTGTGCAATGCTGTACACCCTCCAGTTCTGTTTCCTTGGAACACTCCTTCCAAAACGCTCTGTTCAGAAAATACTGCTCTACTGAACAGAGATGACTATTATACTCGGATGAACCCCACACACGACAATATACTGTTAGTTTTCACAAAGTAAAACAAGAGAGAAATGTATTTTCTTAATGGAAATAAAACAAAATCCTTGGGACAGAGTAATCTGCTATCCATAAACGCCCATCTGCACAGCACGAGAGGACAATGTATTTATCATTGTCAAGGGCTCGGAAGAACTTATTTTTCACAGCAGTTTAATGGCTGAAATTCCAATTGCAAAGCTAACATTTGGACTCTCATATTCTCATATGAGAGAATTTAGATACACCAATTAGTATTTAGGTACACAAATTAGAATGTTTCAGCCTGGGAAGGCTAACTGAAAAGAACAGAGATCCACCAACTATGGCTGGGCTAGCTATAATCGGGAGAAGAAAATAAAAAGGGCCACTGGGTGAAAATCCCATGAAAATCAAACAGGAGTTTTGAAGAGAAATCATTTTTGAGAAATACCTTTTAAAACAGTAGAAAATATTTGTTATGCATTACAGGAAAGAAAAACAAAAAACGAGATGGTTTTTGGTTACTTTAAAAACCCATTATATCTTCTTATGGGTTCCCTTATTTTTGTTTTATCACCCACCCTACTCAGACTTGTACATGAAGCCATCCCAGACCAAACTGAAGGGACTTTGAGCTGTACTATCAGCACTGCACACTTCCTATAATGGTCTGAATTCAAACACATGGTGAAAGCAAGCGGGCTGGCTTAACCCAGTGAGAACAGAAGTCATGCTTACAGACTTGGCCTGAAATACCATCATTTGAAGGGGTTAATTCTCCCATTGCTAGAAGTCCAGTTCTCTAATAAAGACCAAAAGACAATTTCTTTTTGATACGGATTTTGCTATATTAAACATTAACGTCCACTGTAATCTTCCCACCGTTCCTGTACTAGGGTGGTATTTGGTGAGGCTGACGATTCCCAGACTGATCTAAGTAGATGCCATATTCTCTCTGCAAGGGGCCCTGACTGTATGATGACGACGATACCATCCCCTAGCACTGAGGGAGTGTTTTCTCTGTGCCAGGCACTGATTTAAGTGGCTGAAAAGCATTAACTCGTGAACTGGCAAATTCACGGAGGGGGAGAGAGGTTAAGGGGTACTAAGGTCACACAGCAAGGAAGAGCTGGAGCCGAGCCTGGACCCAGGCACTGACTCCAGAGCTCGGGCCTCTCAACACTGTGTGTGCTCCTTGTGTGGGTCATGCTGTGAGAGAGAACCAGCTGTTGAACCGAAAAGAAGCACGTGACTCAGCGCTCCTTAAAATCCCTGTTTTCTTAAAAATGATTCTTTTCTTAAGACTTGTTTTAAATGTTTCTGATTTTATAAAAGGCTTTAATATGTTGGAATATCATTTTATAATGCTAATGGTTATATACATTTTATTGAATGTTTTTCTATTCTGCATTTCAAACCGAATCAATAATTGTAATTGACACAATTGTACAGAATGATATATTAACAGTTACAAGTTTAACTCTGCACATAAATCTAGTTTGAAAAAGGTATTACATTAGTAAATAAGTACATATTTATCCCAATCTTTAAAAACTTTTATGAAACCTAGGATAAAAGGTATTAAAATTAGATTTCCTGGGCAATACTAGAAAATTATATGTCTAAAGAATATTTGCAAAGAGGGAAGAAGCTATAAAATGAAAGGTACAGAACTACAGGATAATCAACCAAGCTGTCTTCAAAGACGATTTGTGGGATGCTCTCCTTTCCATACTTCAGTCCCTTACACTTGCTCTTTCATCTATTACATCCTGATATTCCAGCAAATAATACAAACAAGTCCTCTCCCTCAGAGAGGAAACCTGCAATAAGACGTAACACCTTGTATACAGTTACTAGCATAATAAAACGGCATCCAAATAACTAATCAATTACCAGTGTTTAAAATTTATAGTAAGAAACTTATTAAAAACAACAGAAGACTACCTCTGCTCCAAATTTAGGCCAATTTAAATGATTTTCAATATAGCTAAACTCAATGGAGGAGTTACACTTGGTTTTATCTTGCTGACCAGACTTCTGGGAAAGTGATCATGCAGGTGGACCACTAGGACCAGTGGCTCTTCTTCCTTAGCTGAATTACATCAGATTCCTACCACGCTTCTCCATACTGAGGGGACTCATTAGGAAAGGACCCATCATCCATGTGCTCACATAAAACCCCTCTCTGCACCTCCTACCCATCCCACCCCCACAATACAAACAGCAAGTTAGTGTGCTGTTGTGGCCTCTTCACTGGAGACTGTAAGTCTGAACTGAATTGTTCAATGTGAGGGTCACAATGAGAGAACGCGGATCTTTCTTATTCTTGTGGACTGTGATTTTTCCTTTCAAGGTTTCACCTATAGAAGAAAGGCAAAAAATAAGTTTAAGAATTCAAAAAATACAGTCTAGCAGAAAAGTAATAATGTATACCTAGTACTTTTTTTTTGTTGTAAGATGTTTCACTAATTTTTTTAACAACTTTTTTTTTTTTTTTTTTGGTGAGGAAGATTGGCCCTGAGCGAACATCTATTGCCAATCTTCCTCTTTTTGCTTGAGGAAGATGATCCCTGAGATAACATCTGTGCCAATCTTCCTCTATTTTGTATATGGGACGCCACCACAGCATGGCTTAACGAGCGGTGTATAGGTCTGCACCCAGGATCTGAACCCATGCATGAACTTAACCACTACGCCACTGGGCCGGCCCCTTAACTTTTTAATTATTCTTTAAATTAAGAGATTTAATTTTCTAAGGTAATTTTATGTTGAATTTTTGAACAAAGCAGACCTAACTTACACACTGCAGGTGTCAATTCCTTGTGAAAAAGTGAGCAAAACTACTTGCTTGGGAGAGTCATTTTACTGCACGCCTGAGCATGAGGCCCTGTGGAGAGTCCTGGGCATAGAGAAAAAACAAGACATGGTTCCTGCCTCAAAGAGTTCACGGTGAAGGGTGAAGAGAAATAGCTACATCAACAATTACACAACAGGTGTGTGTCTAAACTGTGCTGGAGGTGAGGACTGGAGATGGTTGGAAGGCAGTAAAAGGCAATGTTTCACAAGAATTAATGAATGAATTATCTGAGGACTAAAGTCATGGTTAACTTAAGGAGTGTACATGGAATGGCATTTAAGAGAGAGAGAGAACATGCAGAGAGAGCCTTCAGGAAATGGCATTTTGGGAAACTGAAAATTACAGTTGGGAAAAAAATTTATATTTTACAGAGGCACATGACAAGGCTGTTGGCCTTTAAGGTACTAACACTGTAAATGGAAAACAGAACTTACACAGGTAAAACAGTAAACACAAAATATTACATATTTGTTTAAAGGCAAAAACTGATTCCCTGAAAACTTATCCTGTATGCTACAAATTTTATTTTACTCCAAAGTGGAATTATATCTATGTACTTTTCTGATTACAGATACTTCTCATTTAAGTTTTTTTCACTTATATACCAAGAGCCATTTAAAAATAACAAAAGATACTGATAAGATGTAATTGATCATCATTCCTTGCTTTACTAAGAGTAAGGTCACACCAAATAGCTTCAGCTATAGCTTTGAAATCTGGATAGACACAGTGAGACTCCATATGAAAAGATGGAGGAATCTATATAAAACTATCCAAGTACTGAATCAGTATCTTATTTTTAAAAACCTGCAAATGCCCCACATTAAGGGATAATGAATCTGAATGTTTTTCAATATGGTAGTGAAATAGCAAAGTAAAATTTAACAAAACCATGTAATAGTTATATTTATTTCAGAATATAAAGATTCCATTACTGATACATTCTATCTATACTGCAGAAAACGTAAGGCTTATAGTGTTTAATGCAAAATTAAGGAATTAGAATAATGGAAAAAAAAATAATGGAAAAAAAATTATGTGGGCCAAGTTACATTCCACTCAGCCTAATATAACAATGATTTCATGTGCAGGTGTGTATGTTAATGTGTACATTTGGCTTCGGTGTTTATATTCCCATATATTATTAAGAAAATGAAACAAAAGTACTTCACGTGCCACGCTCACCAACGGGCTGACAAGATCACCAGTGATGTAGCTCCACAAACTTTATGGAAAGTATCTATCAATAGATAATAATAATTGCTAATATTTATTTAACACTATTTTGTGCTAGCCATGTTCTAAGGCCTTTATATGACTTATCTCACTTAATGATTACAAAAATATCTCTATGAGGTTCAGTACATTTTCCTCACTCTACAGATGAGAAACAAGGTTCAGGAAGGTGTGGTAATCTGCCTAAGGCACACTGCCAGTTAGCGGAAGCACCAGGATTTTAAGCGAGGCAGTTTGATTCCAGAGCCCATGTTCTTCAACTACATTCCAGCGCCTCCTTATCCCTATCTGAAAAATTGATTATTATAGTTTTAAATGTACTATAATGGACGTGAAATAGCCAAAATTTTACTACCCTATATTTTTTTGTAAAAACATTTAGCCACTTTATAAAAATGTTTTATTAATATTAAAATTTATGTAAGTATTATTCCATAATAACTTTAATAAACTATCATATATGTTTTCTTTTCTGTTAAGGCATTAACTTAGAGAAGAGGTGATAAGTATCTTCAACAAAACTAAGAGACTTTCCAATTTTGAATATGTAGGCAATATTTTATTGCTTCTATTTTTTTTTAAAGATTTTTTTTTTTAATTTATTTTTTTCCCCCCAAAGCCCCAGTAGATAGTTGTATGTCACAGCTGCACATCCTTCTAGTTGCTGTATGTGGGACGCAGCCCCAGCGCGGTGAGAGAAGCGGCACGTTGGTGCGCGCCTGGGATCCGAACCTGGGCCGCCAGTAACGGAGCGCGTGCACTTAACCTCTAAGCCACAGGCCGGCCCATATTGCTTCTATTTTTTAATCAATTTTTAATCTGCTATTTTATACCAAGAATCATATCCTGAATTTATCATTTACTGATACTGAAATTGGAAATGAGCAGCCGCTATATGATAAACTGATGCTGGTTTTATAAGTACATGACAGAGGAGAATAATTACCAACTTGGTTGTTGGGTTTAAATTACTGTTATTGAATTATCAACACTGAAGTCAACAACTGTCGATTCTACTTCGTGGCTTGTTAGTTCCTTCCCATTTATAAACAGTGTGTCAGTGTAAATTACTTAATTTAGTAGCTTCTATAAAGTAGTTCATACGTATGAAAAGACAGATAATGTATACTTGAGATATAAAAATAATAAAACCACCTCCACAGACCCAACATCGGGCTGGAACCTTACCAAAACCACTGACGCCCCCTACTATGTCCCTCCAATCACATCCCCTCTAACCTCCAGTGATAATCAAGATTCTGATATTTTGTTACCATTTCCTATTCAAAATAGTTCCACTTTATAGAGATGTATCCTTAACAATATATTGCTTTTATTTGTATTCTTTAAAACTTAAAAAATTTTGTATTTCTTATTTTCTTCTATGGCTTATTATTTCATTCATCACTTGTGAGATTAATCTCTGTTGAGGCAAGTAGCTATATACTTCATTCATGGTCACTGCTGTGTAGTATTAAACTGTATTAATAGCCCCATATTCATTTATCTGTTCTTCTGTCAAATTGTTTCCAGTTTATTATAAATGATGCTGCTATGATTATTGTTACATATATGTGTTGTGTCCTTAAGACGACAGTTTCTCTAGGATGTAAACTGCAGAAGTGTAGGGCATACACATGCTCAAATTACTATCTAATGATAAATGGGCCTTTAGTAAACTTCATCTATTCATAGAAAAACTTTCTTTTCAATATAGAAATAAAGAGCAACTCCTTTATTGAGAGTATATATCAAAATCTGAGAGCAAATATGATAAAAAGCAAACAGCAGCATTTAGATTAAAGTGAGAACACAGCAAAAATACCACTATCACTATATTATTTAACATCATTCTTTTTTTTTTTTTTTTTTTGTGAGCAAGATTAGCCCTGAGCTAACATCCGATGCCAATCCTCCTCTTTTTTGCTGAGGAAGATTGGCTCTGGGCTAACATCTGTGCCCATCTTCCTCTACTTTATATGGGATGCCGCCACAGCATGGCTTGACAAGCAGTGCATTGGTGTATGCCTTGGATCCGAACCCACGAACCCCGGGCCGCCGAAATGGAGTGCGAGCACTTAACCGTTATGCCACTGGGCTGGCCCCATTAACATCATTCTTGAATATTCTACCCAATGCAATATGACATGAAATGGAAATTAAGAATACAGATGTAGTATCAGGGGGGAAAAAGGAGATAAAATTAATTTCAGGTGTTATTTTCAGTGAAAGAGTTCCAGAAATCTGCATTGAGTCCTCTTGAGACTTTAGCTAAATACTAATCTGTGCACATATAGGGTGAAATTCCATGATTCTGAGCAAAGAACAACTCCTAGGGAGCAATCAGCTGAACAACATCCAGAGCTCACATAGGGCTGGGAGATGTTTGAATTCCAAGCAGCCAGACTAGAAGGAACTTGTTGAACACTCAGGGTAACTCACTAGAGACACCAGACAGATTATGTGTTAGCATTAAACTATCCCAACAGTAAAGTTTACTCTAACAAAGCTTTAAAACATGTTTTGTAAAAACCAAGGTAATCTTTAAGTAACTTAATTGCATGCTAAAAGAAACTTTAACACTTTTTAAAGGAAAGTAAACAAAATCCAAACATTCATCAACATAACATTTACAATGTCTGACATCCAATTAAAAATTTCTAGATATTTAAAAAAGCAGGGCCGGCCCCGTGGCTTAGCGGTTAAGTGCGTGCACTCCGCTACTGGCAGCCCGGGTTCGGATCCCGGGCGTGCACTGACGCACCGCTTCTCCAGCCATGTTGAGGCTGTGTCCCACAAACAGCAACTAGAAGGATGTGCAACTGTGACACACAACTATCTACTGGGGCTTTGGGGGAACAAAAAAAAAGGAGGAGGACTGGCAATAGATGTTAGCTCAGAGCTGGTCTTCCTCAGCAAAAAGAGGAGGATTAGCACAGATGTTAGCTCAGGGCTGATCTTCCTCACACACACACAAAATAAATAAATAAATAAAAAAGCAGCAAAATGAGGCCTAGAAGCAGAAGAAAAATAAGTTACAACAACAAAAACAACACATCAAGGCACATCTTACCTGACCTCCTGAAAACCAGTGATAAAGAGAAAAATCTCTAAAGCATCCAGAGAAAAAACACATATTACATACAAGGGAAGAGAGAAAAGAGTGAGCTCAGAACCTTCACCAGCTGGACACGTCTTTGAAGTGATGGAGGAAGAAAACCTAGCAACTAAGAATTCGATATCCAGCACAAATCTCTAAAAAATGAA